TTGTAAAAAAAAAAAAAAAAAAAAAAAAGGAAAAAAAAATATATTTATAATTATTATAAAAAAAAAAAAAAAAAATAATATTACAAAAAAATAAGTTTAAATTTGAAATACATAACAAATTAAAAAAATTCAAATAATAAAATTTTTAAATATAAATTATTAGGTTTATCTTCTAATTTTACACTTGTATTAGGAATTACCATTAAAAGTTTTTTTTCTTTATACCAATAAAAAATGATTTTAATTATACATTTCTTAGAATTTTCAATTGAAAATTTCCTTAATTTTATTTTCTTTTTCAAAATATCTATAATTTTTATAATACAATTTATTACATTATCTTTTAATTTAAAAAAAATTATATTTATAAATACTCTCATATTTTACCTTTTTTTTCTATTACCTTATATTGTAGTAGTTTTCCTTATTCATTTTTTAAAAAAAAAAGTAATGTAAATGTTTCATTCTTTTAATATAAATACAAATTAAATGTTCCTTTTTAATATTATTGATTTGAAACTTTCTAAATATTAGTAAAATATAATTCTACAAAAATCATTTTTATCTAAAATGAATATACAGACACTAAAAAAATAGTGTAAGAACAAAAAAAAAAAAAAAAAAAAAAAAAAAAAAAATTTGTTTTTCATATAAAAATTTTTATAAAAAATAAGTTTTTATGATATAAAAAAAAAAATATTAAAAATAAAAAGTAAAATAGAATATAGTAGTAAGAATCAAAGTAAAAATATTTCTGAAAGAAAATACTTTATAAAAAAATTAAAATGTTTAAAAAATTTTCTGAACTATTGGAATAATGTAAAAAAGCATTAAGACATACAAAAAAAATCTATGTAAGAATGTAGAAAGATAAAATATATTTTTTAAAAAAAAAAAAAAAAAATAAATAATTTTAAATTTTATCATACAAGAAAATAGTAAAAATTTTAAAAAATTTTGAGGTATTTATTGTTTTATTTTTAAAATTGCTCATATAGAACAACATGACTATAATTATAATTTTACAAAAATAGTAAAATCTCACATGTTTTTACACTTTTAAACATTTCTTTTTTGTTTGTTGATTGTTGTTTTTTTTCTTTTTTAAATTTTTATGAGAGGAAAAAATAATAAAAAATGATAAAACTTATATATTAAAATTTCTTTGTCATTAATATTTCATTATTTAATTTTAAAGAATTTGTTGACTTTCTCTTTTATTTGAATTTTTTTATTATAAATCTATTAAATGAAGTAAACATTCTTTTGATTTTTTTTTTTTTTTTTTTGTTTGTTTCTTTCTTTTATTCTCCGTTAATAATTTTTTTTTGTATCTATTTTTTTTTTTTAAAATTGGTAAAAGTGAAAAAATTATCTTAAAATATACTTATGTTGTAAATAATTTTTTTTTTCATTTGTCTTACATATAAAGCATAATAAAATTTTATGCATTGAAAATTCTTTTTAATTTAAAAAAAAAAAAAAAAAATGAGCTATGGAAAAAATAAAGTGCTTTGGACGTTTTTTACCAGAATCAGAATTTGATAAATTTAGAGAAAAAGAAAAATATTACTTAAGAAAAGAAAAAGTTCTAACAAAAGTTTATAGTGAAAATAAATCAAATCTAAAAATTTATAATGATATATTTAAAAAAAGAATTAAAAATATATCTGATGGAATAAATAACTTACTTGTTGTAATAGATAATAATGAAAAAGATTTAAAAATGTTAACATTAGGTGATAATATTTCTTTAGGAATTATGTACTACATATTGAATGATTTGGTGTATAACGAGAGTAATGATTATAAATATATTATAAAATTTAGTTTTTTTAAGATAATAAAAAACTATATAAAGGATTTATTGAAAAAATACATTTATATTGAAAATAATATGATTGATGTTGATAATTGTCTAAATTATCTACCTAAAGAATATGATAAAATATTTTCTACAGAAATGAGCCCACTACATTTTAATACTCCTACTAACTTTTTAAATAATAATAAAAATGAAAATAAAAATAATTATATTAAAAATATAAAAGGAAACTTTATAAAAAAAGAAACAGATAATACTTTACCATATGTTAATGTTGACAATTTTATAAAAGAAAAAAAAATGAAAAAATATAATAGTACTAAAATTAAAAACACACATATATGGGGAGAAGATGAAGTTAAAAAAATATATTTAAATGATAAAAATATAAAGCACATATTTGAATTACTTTGTAAGAATAAGAAAAAAAAAAATAGAAAAAATGTAACATATAAAATTTATGAGTTCACAATACAATCAATGAAAAAATGTAACAACGATAATAAAAGTATAAAAAATAGTTCTATAATAATAATTGCAGTTAGTAACTTAAAAAATGTAGATTCTTTTAAAAAAAATTTTTTATATTACTTTTTTGAATTCTTCTTAAGAATAAAGGAAAATTCTTACAATAATAAAAAAAAGAATTTTTTTGACATTAAGAAAAAAGCTTTGATAATTAAATATTTAAATAGTTTAGTAAAATTAAATAATTATTCCGAATCTTTAGATACTTTAAATTTATTTCCTTTTGAGCTGAACTTTTTATATATATCCAGTAATTTTTATAAATATAGAAACATAAATCAATTTATTTATTCCTATTTAAAATATTTAAATGGGTCAAAATATTTTTTAAAACCAAATATAATAATGTATTTAGATAGTGAATTCTATAAAATAAGAGAAACTGTATATATGTTTAAGAGCTTGTTAAATTATTACGATAAGCTTAAATTATCAAATAAAGACATTAATAGAAAATATTTCAATCTTATGAATTATTTAATAAATTTAGAGTCATCAATTATTAATATTAAAAATAAGAAAATGTCTGATTTTACAGAAAATAATATCAATCACATTTTAAATATATATCATAACTTGTCTGAAACAAATGATTATGTAAATATAGAAAGAAATTCTTTATTTGGTGTAAAAAAAAACATTATTATTCTAGATAAGGAAAAAAGAAATATAAATAAAAATAATGATGTTAAAATATCACATAATAATAATTTTAAAAAATATAATAAAAATATAAAAAAAATTAGTGAATATAATAAGGAAATTGAAACACTTGATGGTTTTAATAATTCTTTATCAAATTCAAATATCGAGAAATATAAAATACATATAAATTTAAAGAATGATAATTATGTAAATTTTAATAACAATAAAAATATTAATCTAGAAAATAAAAAAATTGATTTACAAATGAAATTATTCTGTAAAAATAGTAAGACTAATGAAACGTGTTTCGATGATCTAACAGCTAGAAGTAATAAAATCAAAAATAAAAAATTAATAAAGAAAAAAGATAATTACTTCAAAAATATTATGAATAATGATGATTCTTATATAAATAAAATGAAAAATGTTAAAATTGATTCAGTAAAAAGAAATAAAAAAACATATAATATAAATAATATGATAAAATATAAAAAAATAAAAGATGCATATTCATCTATTGAAAATAGTAATTTTATAGATAATGGAAATAAAAGTTCATTAAAATGTAAACTAAAAGTAAGTGTTCATAACGATGAGAATTTAAAAAACGATCTTTCAAATATTGAAGACTATAAAATAAATCTATACTATAATAAAAGAGAATTCGAAGAAAAAGATAAAAAAGAAAAAAAAAATACAATGTTAAAAAAGAAATTAATTTGTAGAAATGATAATTTAAAAAATAGAAATATATTCAATAGTACTATGAATAATGAAAATTATGATAAATTTATTAATGGAAAACAAGAAAATAAAAAATTTATTTTTAATAATAACCTTGGTATAATATGTTCACAAGAGTCTATTAGTTCATCAGAGGAAGAAAATAAAAAAAAATTTTTAAACAATATAAAAAAAAATAATAAAATTTTAAAAAAAATATCTATATTAGATACTAAAAAAAAAAAGATGGATAAAAGGGCCAAAATTTTATTTGAAGAAGTGGATAAATGCTTAGATGAAAAATATTATAAAAAAAGTATAGATGATGAAAAATATAAAATGCTATTAAAAGAAAAAGAAAGAAGAGATTATCAAAATAAGATTATAGAAGAAAAAAAAATAGAAAAAAATGTGAAAAAAAAAAAGGAAGCAGAAAATGATATTCAAAATCTAGGACAGAAATTATTACAAGAATATGGACAAAAGAAAGAAAAAGAGAAAATAAAAAAAAAATGTAATACTGATAAAAAAATTATAGAAAATACAAAAAAAAAAAAAAAAATTAGTTATCCTTTGAATTTTCTAGAGAACAATAATTTTGAAAATAAAGTACATAGTAAAAAGGAACGCAAAGTGAGCAAAATTTTAAATATTGATGAAAATAATAAAATTAATTCATCACAAGATAAAAAATGTGCATATGAAGAAAACAAAAGTTCACATAGATATTTAACTTGTTCTAATCTATATAAAAAAAAAGAAGATGGAAAATGTAATTCTAAAAAATGTTCACCAAATTTTTATGTCATACCTAGTACATTAGACAGAGGTATAAAATATTCTACGAATGATTATTCTAAAGATGAAACTAAAAATAATTATAATAATTCATATTATGATATTAATGAATCATTAAAAGAAAATAATAATAATCACGATAAAAAAAAAAGCAAATATTACAATAAAACATTAGAAGACAACATAAGTAATAGTTTTAAAAATTCAAATACAAATGATTACACAAAAAGTTTAAATTTATTTTCTCATCAAAACAAATCTGATAAATCTAATCATAATAATTCCTTTTTTTTAAATTCAGAAATTATAATTTCAGACGATGAATATGAAGAAACAAAAAAAAGTCAAACAAATATAAAAAATAAAGATTGTACAAATTATAATAAATATGAAGATATAAATATTACTGATAAATATAAAGGTGAAAACAAAAAGTTTCCAATTATTAATAAGAATATAAAAAAGAAAAACAATTTAAATGAAAGCATTATAGAAGTATGTAAAGAACAAATACATTTGCACAATTCTAATGAAAGTGCATTTTCATTTTCATCAAAAAATAAAAAAGAATCTTGTATAAAAAATGATTATACATCAAATACTCAAAAAGTGAACGAAGAAATAGTGGATAGGTATAATTTGTGTAGTTTAAATAGTAAATCCTCATCTGAGGAACATCTAAAAAAAGTAAGTAACAATAATTATACAAAAGAATTTGAAAAAGAAAAACAAGAATGCAAAAATGAAAATAAAGATTTAAATAACAAAATAAGTAGTTCAAACATATTACATAAATCTTCAATGAACCATAATAATAGTAGTATTGAATTTCGTACAAAAGCAATTAACAAAAATATATTACATTATCATAAAAATATTAAAAAATTAATAAAAAATCATATGAAATTGCTAAAAAAAAAACATAGAGAAGATAATAAAGATTTAATACTTTTAAAAAAGATAAAATTCGCAAAGAATATTTTAAATGAATATACAAAATTATTGAATACCGATTGTAATAATAAAACTGATAAGTTTTTGTTACACTATATTCTTAAGGATAGCAGTAAAGAAGGAGAAATAGGAGAAATAGAAGAAATAGAAGAAATAAATCCATTAAAAATTAAGGAAAGTAATGATAATAATAATAATAATAATAATATGAATTATACTGATAACATTAATAATAATAATTGTAATAGTAATAATAATAATAATAATATTAATTATACTGATAACAGTAATAGTAATAATTGTAATAGTAATGATAACAATAGTAATAAAAATAATGGAAATAATAATAATGTTAATAACAATGATGACGATAATAATAATAATTTAAAAAGTCAGTCAGTGGAAATATCTTCATATAGGTTATATGATGACTGTAATTATTTAATGAAAAAGTCTAATATGTTTAAAGATTTAAGAGATAAAAAAATTGAAAAATCTCCATATATAACAGAACAGAATATTAATAAAGACATAAACAAAAGTCACAATAATATAATGATGAAAAATACAGAAAATTTAAATAGAGATGTTGAAGACTGTAAAAATAAAATAAGAAATGAAAAAGAAAAATTTATTTATAATTTGTATGAAACATATTCTAATGAAAACATAAAAAATAATGACAGCAGTAGAAATTATAATAATTCATTTTTAAAAGAAAAAAATGATCTTTTTGAAAATATAAAAGAAAATAATTCTGATTTTTTAAACAATGAAGAAAGAAAAAATGAATATTATACAAAAGAAAATAAAATAGATGATTCAAAATATAGTCGTTATTCTAAACTAAAAAGCGAAAATAACAATAAAATTAATTATGATGAAAATAAGAATGATCACAATTATAGTAATATAAAAAGTTGCTATAACTATAATAATAGTCCTAATAAAATTAACAGTGTTTTTGATAAAAGTTATTGCAATTATAAAAACACGAAAAGTGAATTTGAAGATAATTTATTAAATAAAATATATTTAAAAAGTAAAAATTACAAATCCCCCAAAAATTTAAGTAATACAAAAACATATGCTAAAAATAAAAATTGTAACACCTGTACTTATTTATATAATGAAATTCCTATAACTTATGAATGTCTAGAAAAAGATGAAAGTATTTCTTCTAATGAGACAAGTTTTTATTTTAAAAAAAAAATTATCCAAGAGAGTAAAGAAAATATAATGCATAATGCAAATCTTGATAAAAAAGGAAGTCATTATAAAAAGTTAATACATAAAAACAAAACGTATAGTAGTTCATATGACCATTCTCTAGATTCACATGATAGAATGAAAAGTTTTCCTTATTTTGGTAGTGAAGAAATACAGCATATAAATAAAAAAGTTTTATGTAGGAATTTAAAAGATACCAGAGATATAAACAATAGATGCAGTACAAAAAAAAAAAAATTGAAAAAAAGTCATCTTACATATAATATAAAAAAAAGAGATTTAAAATTAAATGAAAGTGAAAATAGTAAGGATTCATTTTATCCTAGAGAATATGATAAAATTTTTAACTATGAAATTAAAAATTTAATAAAACAAAAAAGAAAAATATTTGATGAAATAAAAAATAAAAAAGAACTGTTCAAAATATCCATAAAAAAAGAGGAAGAAAAACTAAGTGAAATTCAGCGTAAAAAGGAAAAATTAAGTAATTTTTTAAAAAATGAATCAAAAAAATGCAAAGAACATAAAGAAAAAGTAGCAAGAACTAAATATATACTTCTGAAGATACAATATTTGGAAAAACAAAAAAAAAAAAAATTAAAAGAAATTAAATTTGAACTTGAAAAAATAATTTTTTTGAAAAAATATATATATAAATATTTAAAAAAAGAAAATAATTTTAAAGTTGAAAATAATACAAAAAATAAACAAAACAAAAATTCGTCTGTCTCATCTTTGAGTTGTACAAATGAAAATGAAAATATTAAGGAAAACAAAAATGATTTCTATAAAACATATAGTTCCAATTTCAATAAAATAAATAAAAATGACGAAATAAGAAAAAAGAAAATTAATAATGCAAATATCGAAAATGAACAGATACAGGATGACAATATGATAAAAAAAAAAATTCATAAAATTGAAAAGGAAAAAAATAAAAGCACTGAATCTCTTACAGAAATATGTGAAGACAATGTAGAAAAAATTTTTGAAAGGCAGCTACGTATAAATAAAAAAAAAAAGTGTGTACAGTTGTTGAGCGAAAATAATGAAAAAGAAAAAAAAAAAAATGTTGCACAAGACGCTGTTGATATTCCAATAAACATAAATTTAAAAAAAGAATATATTGGTAATAATTATTATATAAATGATGAAAATAATAAAATTAAAGATTCAAGTATTTTTTCAGAAATTCCTGAAACTTTTCAGAAAAGAAAAAAAAATACAAATATATCAGCTAACATAGATGGTAAAAGAGAATTTTCATTGATATGTTCTGATGAAAATTTAAATGAAATTGATTTTCATGAAAAAAATTCTAGCAAAAATACGTTTCAAGATAGTATTATTGAAAATAATCATAAAATAAAAATAAATAACATTGATTTATGTGAAAACTATTTAAAAAAAAAAAATAAAATAAATAATACAAATAAAAAATTTATACGAGTTAATGTGCAAAAAAAATCTTTAGCATCTTTTAAAAATTTTGATGATACATTGAATATTAAAGATAACTCTGATTACTATTGTAAATTATACCCAAGTGAAATAAATAAAAAAAAAAAAGACAATATATATGATTGCATAGACCTAAAAAGTAGAAACTTTAATGAAAATATTTGTAGAGCATGTGATTACTCTTGTCATGAAAAAAACATCAAAAATGAAAATAAGAAAAATATAAAATTAGCATGCAAAAATTGTAAAAACAGTAACTTACCAAACAATTCGACTGATTCTATAAATAAACTAACTAACTCATCAAATAATATATACATCAATAAAGAGATAATTTGTGATCATATATACGAAAAAGAAAAGAATCTGAATAATTTCTCGGATAAATCAAATAGTATATATATCAATAAAGAGATAACTTGTGATCATATATACGAAAAAGAAAAGAATCTGAATAATTTCTCTGATAAATTATACGATAAATCATCTATTATCAAAAATAGAAGTATACGTAACTCAGGTAATAAGAAGAAAAATAAATTAATAATAAATAAATCAAAGCAACACATATTACCCACTTCTAATTATTCTCGTGATCAGAAATTAAATAAATTAGCATTTGAAGAAAATGCTAAAAATATTAAAAATTTTAAAGTAGAACCAGAGATTTGCAAAAAAAGAAATAAAATAAATAAAAATACAAAAAATTCTATTAATGAAAAATCAGAAAACAAAATAGGGGATATAAATATTAACATAAAAGAATTAATTAAAAACAAAAAGGAAAGAAAGAATTTTTCAGATACCACAAGTTATATAGAAAATAAAAAGAGAGAAAAAAAAAAAATAAAAAAGTTAAAAAAAAAGTCTTTATCAGAAATTCCACATAATATACTAGTCAATATTAATATTCCAAATAAAAAAATGAATTCATTAAAAGAAAATTATTCACATAGAAAAGGTTCTTTTATTAAAACTAATAAAAAAATAAATATGCCATTAGAATACTCTTCAAGTAATAATTATCAAAATTATAATTTAAAACCTACATATAGACAAACCAGTTTTTGCCAACCTTCAAATATTTATTATGAAAATGTAACAAAGTCGGATAATGAAAGTATTATGCATATAAATAGAAGTAATGGAACTAATTTTAATTATAAAAATGTAAATTTTAATGAAAATAAATACTATAAAAATAATAATAATTTTTTTCATCCGAAAAACTCAGTACGACATGAAATAGTAAGTAGAGATAGTAAACTGATTCCAACAAATAATGAAAATGCATATTTTAAAAAGATAATTAATAATAAAAATGAAAATTTTGATCATATTTCAATTAAAACTACTATAAATAGACCTAAAGAAGCAACAATACCTTGCATTGATTATGACACAAATAAATATAAATTTAAATTAGGATGGTGGAATTTTGGAGAAGATTCTAAGTTTTTATCGAAAATTGAAAATTATAAAAAAAATGTAAAAGAAAAATATTACAAAAATAGAAAGGAATGTAAAAATCGATCATTAACTGTTGCAACAAGTAAATATTTTACAAAATTTTTACCAAACGAATATTTTTATATTCCTATAACAAATAAAAATTATTTTAAAAGTAAAAATTCTTTAAGTGTAAAAAGTAATCCCGTTAGTGATTTTCACAAATTAAATTTAAAGCCTTTAACAGGATTTCTACAATCATATAAAAAAGAAAAAGAAAAAAAAGATGAACCACGACGGGCAGTAATAAAAGTATCAAAAATTCCATACGATATAAAAGATTATAAGCATATATACGAAAATAAACATAAAAGTAAACAAGGGTTAAGCATAGGAAAGGTGGATGTTATTATTTCAGATGGTGAAGGATCTAATTTAAATCATACATCGGGTTTTTTTGCTTCAATGTCTAAAAAAAATGATAATGATAATGAAAATAAATCTAAAGGTATTTTATTTAAATGTAGAAGAAAATTAAATGACAAAATTTCAAATAATAATACAAAAAAGAGTAAAAACAAAAAAAATGAAATTCAAGTGAAATTAAATAATGCTCTATATGATAAAAATAAAGAAAGATACAATATAAATAATTGTATAAAATTATCTGAAAAATATGAACATTCTAGTAACAGATCAGAAATAGAATCGGAGGATAACAATGATTTAAATAAAAAAAAAACTAGAAAAACTGTAGTTACAGTAAAAAAATATAGAATATCTTCAAGTGATTCAAAATTTTCAAATGAAATAAATAAAAATAACGGAAACAAAGAAAATTTAAAATATTTTGGTAAAAAAATGAAAAATACAAATATAGAAGAACCTATAAAAAAATATAAAATTAAATTTAAAGCAAAAAAAAAGGAAAACTGTAATAATGAGGAAACAAGCAATTTTAGTTCATCATCTTATAAAAATAGTTGGAGCACTCAATATGAAGAGTCATATAATAAATATAATAATAATTCATATAGTATATCATCAATAAGTAGTAAAAATGAATTAAGTGAAAATGAAACTTATGAAAATAAGTATGCAAACAAATATTCTAAAAGTATTTCTGATAATAATAATAATAATAGTGAAACAAATAATAGAAAAAATAGTATTATAGACGGAAACTTTGTTAAACTAAATTATAAAAATGGAAATTTAAAGAAAAAAAAAGATTATTTTGATTATGATAGTGCATATGATGAAAATTATTCAAATTCTTACGAAGAGAAATGTTTTAATAATGAAAACATATATAACAATTATAATAAGAAAAATATGAATAATAATAATAATAATAATAATAATAATAATAATAATAATAATAATAATAATAATAATAATAATAATAATAATAATAATAATAATTATAATAAGAAGAATATGAATAATAATAATAATAATTTAAAGATTAATTACTCAAAAAAAAAATGTGATAACAGTATAAATAAAAATTCAAAAAATTATTCAGACGAATATAATTCAGAAGATAATATAAAAGAAAATTATTTAAATGTAAGTAGCTCAAACCAAAATAATATAAGTGAAAATGATTTTTATCGGAAAATCGAAAAAGAAAGATGTGATTATAACCATTCCCAGTCTAATAATAATTTTAATAATAAAAATTATCAAGCACCAAGTAAAAACATTCAATATAATGATTCACCAGATAGCAAGTACTATAATGATTACTTAGAAAAGGAATATGATGAAAACTTCTATGATAATTATTAATTAAAAAATAAAATAGAATAAAGAAGAAATTATAAATTTGTCCATTAACTTAATGTATTTTTTTAAAATATTCTTTTTTTTTTTTTTCATAGCACATAAACATTAATTAAAATATTAATATGTTAAATAATACATTTTATATTTTAATAATAATATGATTTTCTAAAATCCATAAAAAATTTTTATACAGTCTTGTGTTAATATTAATTCTTAAGAAAAATAAAATATATTAAATTAAATGAGTTAATCTTTCTGAAAATTTGTAGAATAAATCTTATATGTACAACATACAAAATTATAAACATTAAAAATATATTTATTTAATATATATATATATATATATATATATATTTATTTATTTATTTATTTGTGATTTTTTTGTATATTTTTATAAAATAATTATTTTTTTTTTTTTTTTTTTTTGTGAGATTTAATATCATTTGTTTATTATTATTTTTATTTATTTTATTCTATTTATATATATATATAGCTATTACTATGATGATCACAAAATCATGTGAAGCAAATACAATTACTACAAATAAAAAATTTCATTTTTTTTTTTTTGTTTAATAATATTTTATATAATTATCATTATAATACAAATATTGATATTAATTCTTTTAAAAATAAAAAAATAAGGTAAATTACTTGTATTATCATTAGTATTAAGATGAAATTATTCTATAAATTAATCAAATAATTTACAAATTAAAATTATAGGAAACAAACAATATATAAATATCCTTAAAAATATCTGTTTTTGTCTAAATCTACATAAAATCAAATTTTTTAAAGAATAACTTTTACATATAAAATATTATATATCTTATTAAATATTTTAAGTATATCTATTATTACTATTTTTAGTAATTCATATAAAAAAACATTATTATATGATGATTAAGAATTAAATAAGAAAAGAAAATAGTATTTTTCATTTTAAAATTTAAAAAAAAGACTATAATTAAAAAAAAATTTTTTTTTTTAAACAATAAAAATATTCTCGTATAAATTTCATTTTAATTTTATTATTTTCCTATAAATGGTAAATCTTTTTAATTTTGTATATATTATGTTAAAAAAAAAAGAAAAAAGTCAAATTATGATTTAATTACTCCATATAATATCTTTAAACTAGCCAAAATTTCAATGTTAATATATGATATTAAAAATACTTTAAATATATATACATGGAATTTATTTTATTTTTATTGAAACCATGGTAACATTTGATCAATTAATATCCAACTAAAAATAGTATAGTATTATTTTAATAATAATACTCTTTTTCATCTATTTTTTTAAAAGAATAAAATATTAACCTTAAAAAAAAAAAAAAAAATATATGTATACTTATAATTTTCCATTTCCATTAAAATTTTTTTTTTATTTTTTCACTATGAATTAATAAAAAAAATCTATAATAAAAAATTATATAAACGAAAATATTATAAAATTAAATATAATACAAAATATTAAAATAAATAATATTATTCATTTTTTAGTATTGTAGATTTTTTTTTTTTTTAATATATTCATATATATGTGATTATATATTTTAAAAAAGTACTGCTAATGCATTGGAGTAATACTAAAAAATAATCAGAAATATATTTTTAAGAATTTCAATAATGAAAAAAGGCAATTATAACAATAAGATTAAACGAAAACTTATTAGAGTTACAAGCATATACAATTATGACTAAATACACTTATTATATACATAAATTAATTATTAAAAATGTGAAAATATAGCAAATTTTTATTCTTACACATAATTTTATGATGTTGTAGAATAATGCACTTTTCATGAGGATTAAATTGTCGTATATAAGGAGCTTATTAGATAAAAAAGTTTTTAAAATATAATTAGAATAAATCTTATACAAAACATTTACTTAATATTTTACATTCTCTAAAAGTATTCATTTATTTGTATTTTTTTTTTTTTTTTTTTT